TGCCATATGATAATATGAAGTAGAAATTGATAGAACTTGTTGATTATTTAAAAGATCAATTGATCTTGATTCATGTTCTTTATATAAATATCGATGACCTTGAGCTTTAGCATGTCCTAAACGACCATCTGATCCACAACTCCAAGTAAAAACTCGTCCATCTGTTGATAATGCACTTGAATGAATACCACCAGCAGCTATTATTTTAAATGAACATGTACGTGTTAATTCAATTAATGTCCATTCACCTGTAAAGATATGATCTATATCAATACCTAATTTAGATTTATAATTCGAACCCATTGAATAAATACATCCTTGTTCTGTAAGTAATAAAATATGAGCATGAAATTGTCCACGACTAAGTGATATCTTTATTGGTCGATCATTATTATTATTATTATTAATTAAATCTGTTTGTATTGGATTATTAATTGATATATTTCGAAAATTTTCTTGATCAGAAATTTTACCATAAGGTACAGTTGATCCCCATAAATAAATATGACCTTGTTCTGTTATAAAACCATTTACAGATGAACAAATATCAATATGTTGAATTTTATCATTATCATCAGATAATTGATAAACATAAAATCCATTCAGTTGTAAATTCATCACGATTAAAACATCGTTCTTGAATTTGAAAACCATTTACAACAATAATTATAGAATTTTCACCACTAGCACAATGTGTTATTCCCTAGACTGAAAGGCTAGGTTCTACAAACCGTAATTCACTTGTGTCTGTCTGTTCGTCTATTTGTATGTCTTTCTGTCTGTTAGTAAGAAGGACTTGGCACAAATGACCATTCTCGTGGTACAATTGCCCATTTATGTGACATAAGTGACAGTTCTAATAGCAAACATGAACAGTTATTTGGCACAATTGGCCATTTTCATGATACAAATGAACATTTCTGTAGCTCAATTCGCTATTTTCGTGGCACAATCAACCATTTCTATGGCACAGTTGACCATCCTTATGGTACAAATGAGCATTTCTGTGTCACAATCGGCCATGTCCGTGGTAGAAATGACTATTTTTATGGCATAAATCACCACTGTTATTATTTATAATCAACTAAAGCAGAAACTTTGTCATATACATTAGTATTTTTCAATATTTTATGTCAACTGTTTGAATATATCTATATTATGTAATATAGAACAAATTACAAATAATAATAATTCCTCTTAAAGCCATCATTGTACAGAATTCAGTTTTATGTTAAAATATAAGGATGTCTCTGTTATCGAATCCATCAGTCTAGAACCCAATGAATCAACTTTCAATGTTAATGAACGTTACTTGTTGTTTGTTTACTTTGTAAAATTTGTTTTGGTAAATAACCTATACCTTTTCCAAAACCCCATAATTCTCGTTTATCTGTAGTTAATAAAATAGTTGTTGATGGTCCAGATGAAATAAAACCAATTGAAGGTAGTCGGCCTTTTATTAATGTTAATGTTGGTACAATGGTTTTATCATCACCTTGACCAAGTCGACCATATTTTGGTTCATCATCTACAACATATACACGATGATTGGAATCGAGAACAACAGTAAAATTTGTGCCACATGTTACTTGTTCTAAATTTCCTTCTAATCGTTGATTTATTGTTGTTTTTGTTGGTACATGACATTTAATTCGTTTTTGTGATTGAGAGTCATATATGATTCCCCATTGATACAAATTTGTTACCATATTGAACTAATTCAAATGCAAACATACATTGAAAAAGTTTCTTTTTATAGTCTAATTGACGAGTCAAAAGAAAAAAACATGTGTCAATACAGGAATGAGTCATTTGATGTGTTACCATAGAAAGAATGACGAATAACAACAACAATGATAACATACAGTAGTGGACAAAAGTCTCTGCCCCTAGAACTTTCTAGAAATAAAAGAACTTTCCATAAGAATAGTATAAATAGACAGCACTAGCCATTCTCTGATCAGAATCATCGTTCATCCCATCTATATCACCAACGATCATTAGCTCTGAACTATGGCTTTACCGATACACCAACGATATGGAATCATCTTTTTTATCTCAACATCCATTGGGTCCAAAACTCGGCCACAAGTTCATAGTGAAAGCAGTTAAGTGTAGCACGTCGACAGTACAATATTGGCTCAATCGATGGAAACAGTCAAAAGAGTTGAACGATTCAGCTCGATCTGGTCGATCACGTGCAACGACTCCAAAACAGGATCAACAAATTGTCTCGCTTGCCGAACAACAGACATTCGTTAGAAACGGAGGCATCACGAACCAATTGAACAGAAAACGAGTCAACATTAACGAGAGAACGGTGCGACGACTCTTGAACGAAGTGGGAGCAAAATAGAATCGGTCTTTGTCGAAGCCATTACTCACTGAAAACCATCGAATGAATCGTTTAAGATGGGTGCAAGATCACAAAGCTATGACTGGAACCAAGTGATCTTCTCTGACGAGACAACCATTCATCTGAATTGTGTCAAAGGATTGGTTTGGAACTTACTTGAAAAACAAAAGGTCGTGCGAACTGTCAAGCATCCAATCAAAGTCAATGTTTGGGGTTGCTTCTCAATTAAAGGTCTCGGTCGCATTGTCTGTTTTAAACAAACCTAAATGCAGAATTAATGTGCGATATCTACAAGCGTGGTCTCTTACCAACAGCTCTGAAACAATTTGGTCATGATTCAACGTTATGGAAGCTGCAAGAAGACAATGACCCAAAACACACATCGAAACTAGCAGTCAATTGAAAAAGGAATAATGGAGTTCATCGAAAACGTATGACAACTACTCAAGATGAATTTAGGAAGGAAAAAGATCGAAAGTTATCAACTTTGGTTTCGGCGATAAAGCGAGAATGGAAGTCCTTACCATTGGAATTAGCTATAAAACTTGTGCATAGTACGAACAACCGAATTTCTGAAGTTATTGAAAGTCATGGTGGCTTTATATTGCGTTAATGATTAGAGTGTACTATAAGTATCTATAAAATAAAAAAGTTCTCATCTCATCAATAGATTTAGTAAAGTTAGAGGGGGTGAAGACTTCTGTCCAGCACTGTAATATCACAAACGCATATTAAAGTGTACCGATTTCAAACTATAACTACAAACATCAAAGCTTGACATTAGCTACTGTAAACATGAGTATTGTAATTTAATTCGAATTCATTCCAATTTTACATGAGATATATTCTTCAATCCGATTATTCTGTCTATCATATTCCATAAACAATCATATACAACGAATAGAATTATTAATAATTTATTAATCCTTCGATGGTTGAATACGTCTATAGTGCCTTGAACTGAATAAACAAAAAAAAACTAAATGCTTAGTTTGTTTTTAATTTCTTAATATGATAGATTCTTATTTTTCTTTTTTCTGAAAGACTTCTCATTTTTGTAAAATAGAATATAGAAAATAAATAAAAAAGCATATTGATTTTTAACATCTTTTGTAAAACATCTAGATACACAAAAAGTAGAATATGTTTTTCTTTCTATGATTTGAGATAGAACGTTAAATGTTGTGACTGTGAATGTCTATTATTGGTGAGAAGATACATACATTTGTACTTTGATAGTTTCCGCTGTCACTTTTACTTCATGACATAATGATTAGTATGTGTGTCTGTCAACTATTTTTTAATCAGTACAAAGTTGTTATCATATGTCTTCTTCTGTTTCATAGTCATGTATGAAAATGAATATATCATCATTTTAGTACTTACATGTGCATTTGTTTCTTTTTCTCTGAACTTCTTTTGTTTTGGTAAGGAAGTCATTAAGCACAAAAAGCATAGAATAGACTGCAATAGAGACCTGCGGAGTACTCCGAAACCCGATTTCAACTCCGACTCCGTCGGAGTCGGAGTCGGAGTCGGAGTCGGAGTCGGAGTCGGAGTCGGAGTCGGAGTCAGCAAAACGAAATTTTTCGGAGTCGGAGTCGGAGTCGGGTTTTCTGAAAAAATTTTTCGGAGTCAAATTGGAGTCAAAGTCATGACCACGTTTGAATAACTTTTGCTGTTTCAAATAAGAGCAGCTTTACTCTTCAGCTTAACAAACAAAACAAAGAAAGATAATAGTTGCTACATATATTAAGAACGAGTTTCAAGGAAAAAACCTCACATTGATAATCTTTTGACTGTATCGTTCAAAAGACTGGCTACGTAAAAGCATAATGTCATCAATGAAAACATATTGCAATTCCATCAGCAGTACTACAATTCTCTTGATCACCAATTTTCGATTCCTTGAACATAGTACATATCGAAAACTTGTTAGTGATTGTTTTTTATTTCCACTGAACAACAAATGTACAAGAAATTTCAAATTAATCTATTAATGATTCTTTGATATTCCTTCACTCGTTTGTTCCTTTATCGTTCAGGACTACATTGCTATTACTGGTAGCAAGTAATAGCATATAAGGTTATTAATTATTGTATGTAATTATAAATAATCTGCGAAAGTAACAGAGGGAAGAAGGTAAAAATGTTATAAAGTAGTATAGTATTAAAACTAGTAACTCATAGAAGCAATATTGTTATTAGTTTATTACTAGCAATAAGGTATATAAAATTATTACCAGTTACCCAGTTGTAGTATAAAAAAATAATACAGTAAAACCTCTAGTAGTGAGCGCCTCTCGATAGTGAAAACCTCGTTATTATTAGTGTTTTTCACGAGTCCGGAAAGACGATTTTGCTGAAAATGGACCTTCCGAAGGCGAACCTCTGGTTATTAGGAACATTTTTCAATAGTCTCGATCGTGCTCACTTTATAGAGACTTCATGGTAGTAATGTAGCAACCTTATTATTGATTCCCGCATGTTGTAAATTAAACAATAAAACATATTTGAGATTTCCTTTTATTAATAAAAAAAATTCGGAGTTTCTCGGAGTTTTTCGGAGTTGGAATCGGAGTCAAAAAATAAAAATTTTCGGAATCGGAGTCGGAGTCGGAGTCGTAAAGAAGAAATTTTTCGGAGTCGGAGTCGGGTTTCGGAATAAAAAAACCTGACTCCGCAGGTCTCTAGACTGCAATCATTAAAATAGAGTTTTATAGATAAGGAAGAGGCATTGTATTGAAGAATTTCAAACGCAGGAAGAATTGTGTCTCATTGTATACATTCTTAATTCTATGTATAATTTATAGATGCATTCTTTAGTAAATTATTTTGTTTGCTAGGCTTAAATATATATGTATCTTCATTTCTATCACACTGAATCAATAAAGTAAAATTTTGCATTGATTACCAATTCATTATCTGTTTTCAATAGGAATACTATTTCAATTCGAATAGATAAAATAGATAAATGTTAAACTTTTAGTTCGTGATTTATCTGACTAAATGTGTAAAATTTTGAGATTATTTATTTAGGAATATTAAAAATAAAGAAAAACAAACAAATATACAAAGTTCTTTAAACAAAATAATATTTGAACTATGTTCAATATTTAAAATTGCGTCACTAATTCTTCAGATCTCATACGATTAATAACATTAACATCTGATGTTGTTTTTTGATATTCACAAATAATTTCTTCACGTCGTCGATTAAGTAAATCAGCAGCACTATGTTCAATAGCTTCTTGATCTGTCATTGATGCAAGTAAACCACGATGTCGACCCATTAACATTGTTA